TTTTGAGATGGTTTTGAATGAAATATTGAAGTTTATAATTAGGGTATTTTGGCACACCACGCCGAGTGGCTATGCATTATTGATTATTCTAAAATCTGGCTTTATTCTGGCATGTTGAATTAGAGTTTGACAAACGCGGCGGCGCGTTCATTTGAATTTATTTTTCTCATAACAGCTAAAAGAACTTACTGCGTAATTGTTGGTCATACAGATAAGATATCGTCTTTTAAAACTGTAAAAGGTCTACTTTTATTCATGTAGGCTAAAGTAGGCCTACACTCTCTGGCTAACGAGAAAACGTTTTCTCGCTCATGTGAGAATCAAACGTTTGGGCATCTCTCAGTGAGAAAATGCATAGCCGAGCGGTAGAACTTACGGTTGGATCATCAAGTTGACACGGGTTCAAATCCCGATCAAACATGGTCTATTGTAAATTTTATATTTATTGATGCAGAGAGATTTGTCTAGCTCTAAAACTCTGTTACACCATACAGTTTTTGCTTATATTTATAAAATAAAATTACCATGCATTTCCATTTTACACTAAGGAACAATAGTATCCAACAGAACGACTTTGCATCTGTATAATAGGCTACCAATCGTAATTTCAAAAGCAGTTCTGTAAAAAAGTAATTTTATATATATAGCTAGCCTATATATATATATATATATATATTTTTATTAGGCCTATTATTATTATTTTTTGATTCCCTACAACCTAGAGTTTTTAAAAACATGGTTTTAAGTAAAGTGTGATTTGCCAGGGGGGACGGGGATTTCCTTCTGGTCTAAACATCCCTGCTTCTGCTGAATTATTTAAATCCCCACACCCCTCCCTCCACAGCTAATCAATGCTATAGGCTACTTCACCAATAGACCATATCAAATATAAAATAGAGATATGCAACAAGCACGTTTAAACGACAAACAATAAAATCAAAACCAGCGTTTCAGTTGTTCATTAGTTCCAGTGGCCCTAATGCATGCACGGCTTTTAAAATTTCCCAAAGCGTTTTGAGATTATTTTGAATGAAATATTTATAATTAAGTGTTCTGGCACACCACGCCGAGTGGCCCTATGCATTTTTCTAAAGTCGGGTTTTATTCTGGCATGGTGAGTTAGTGTTCGACAAACGCGGCGGCGCGTTCATTTAGATTAATTTATTTTTCTCATTATTACAGCTAAAATAACTTAATAGGCGACTCCGTAATTTTTTGGTCATACAGATAAGAGTAGAGTAGCTTACATCGTTCAAAACTGTAAACTTGTATTCATATTAGGCTAACGACAAAAACAGTATATCTGTCGTCTCTGTCTCCGGGAACTGCGCGTCACAAAAATGAACCGAAAGCCACTTCAGCTCAGTCACGATAAGAAATCGGCTATGTCTAAAGCCTTTAAATGTCTCAATATTTAGGCTAATAAATGTTATCTGATTATGTAGGCTAATCCATATGAAAACGAGAGGTACAGAGGATCTACTCAAACATGTAATGTAAGCGCTTCCCAATGAGAAAATGACAAGACAAGGGTGAAAATCTCGCTCTAATTAAATGTAGGCTAAATCGCCCTGAATTAAAATGTAAAAACAGATCAAATAATGTATTTGTCGAAATGTTGCGATATTGTTTCATTTAAGTTCATAATTATTCTATACATGTTATTTAATTTAGCAGCATTACCACAAAGCACCGTGGTTCGATATTTATTTGAATAGGCCTAATAAAAAAATAAAAAATAAACTTAATTCACAAATTGCATGCCTGGTTGTAAAGATCCAAAGATCCCTGTAGAATTTAATATTGAGTTGAACATTTTGTTCATGACAACAAATTAACATGCGTTTTTTCAGATTATATTTAGTTTTGCTTGGAAAAAGCTGCCCCAAGCCAGTTTTATTTCATCAATTATTGAAATAATGAAATATTTAGTAATAAACTTTTATGACAGAAATATCACTAGGCTACATGTAACTTAAATCATTTAATTCCTTCATTATCAACACTGTCTAGAATAGCGATTTAAGTGTGAATTGCGACTTCTCTTTGTGTTAAGTCAGCCTCAGACTTCGATAGCCTGTGGGGGGTTGGAGGGACAGTTCAGTGCTGTATCGTGCGCGCAGGACAATAGGCCTAGGTGTTAATGTTCCTCTTTCATATGGAGAGTGTCGAATAACGCAGCGACATATACAGTATTATCAGCTGATGTGTTTTTACCCTGTCCCTGAAATGCTTAATTTCGAGAGAGACCCGGCCGGCGCGCGCAGCGAGGGAGACTAAATAGACTTGTAGACTTGTGTAACATAGCTGTCATTTCTTTGGCAATACAAATTTAAAATGTCGCAAGAATAAGATTAGCCTAGCGTTTCTTATTTTGCATCGCACAAGAAATAAACTCTAAACCCGATGCAACCCTGTTTTAAATAAAAAAAAACTGTCCTGACACTTTATTTAAACCTTGAAATGTTCGAACTTGGTTTCAAACTTAAGTAATTTTAGTGTTCTTTTACATTACACAATAATTTAGCAGACTAAAGACGAGCTTCTTCATTTTCATTTTCTGATGCAATCGGCTGACAATCTTCCTTCATCAGTTTTTGTCGTTTGTGGAGCGGCTGCGGTTCTACAGGAATGTAGCAAATTTATGTTGTAATGATAATCAAACAAAACTCTTGACTTTAAATAAGTAAACAGTTAGCTATTTAAGCATCAAGGTGGTCAAATATAAACGCTGTCGGCCAACATCGGTTAACAACATGTATGCTACATTGAGATTCGATCTCGGGTCGCTTGAAGCTCCTCGAAGCTCGTGTTATTGCGTTGATCACTGAGCTACCGTCTGTATGCTGTTAAAACTAATGTCTTATGCTCTTGTAAAGCCTCATTGATGTAGCCTAAATGTTTTTATTGCAATGTTTTATGTTTTCATTATTTATTCAATTTCATTTCAGTAGCCTAATTTCAGTATTGTGATTATGAATTATTTTAACTACGTTTCACTTGTTGAATTCATCTGCTACCAGCTTTCAATCGCTCTGAATGAGCCGCAGATTACGCATTAGAGAGAATAAACGAACACTTTTCAGAGTCTATGATTGTAGCGCCTCTTAGCGGTAAAAGGCAGCAAATACACCACACATTTTACCGCTGCGGTGGAACGGCTGATGTGGGCGTTGTCATGGCTTGCCTCGACATTTGCGTTTGAATAGCGCGCGTCCTCCGTGGGCGTGTCACATTAACGCGTAATGAAGTGCAATGAGCTGGGGAAAAAAATACTGAAATCACTCTCTTTTCATACAGATTACATAAACTGAGAATATTTGTTTTTTTATATAAATTACTTCATTGAAAAGAAGAGAATTCAAGCTTCATAAAGAAAAATCTCTCGTGCCTGTATGACAAGTAATCGCGGAGTTACAGTTAATCTTAGGACGCGTTTCAGAATGGACTGCACTGACAGAGAGGACGCAGAACGCGCATCATGTTTATTTTTCTTTATTTGGCAAAAAGCACAACACTTTGTTTTTATTGTGAGGTTCCACAAAAAAAATACAAACTTAACAGGATCGAATGATGTATAACACTTATATGTAAGATCAAAATCAACAAAGTAATTTGAGTCTCTTTTGCACTGATAAGGAAAAAAGTGAGCTGGTATCGCCGGCGAGACCGCCGACCCCAGAGAGTTAAAGCCGGTGCACACTGTGTGATTTATTATCGTCCTTTACGACTGTTGCTTGTCAGACTGTACGAACATGATCCTCGCTATAAGCCATGTCACACTGTGAGATCTCAGTTGTCATTGATGTCAGACTGTACGGCAGTCAAGACGCGTTAAAAATGGACGCATGCAAGAAAACTCATCCAGAGTTTTACATCAATCAATGACACGTTCGGCGATGTGAGCTGCATTACACGCGGGATTGAACTGATGGCTACAAAGAAATCTCTAACTTTCATTTTGGTCATGGCTAGTCTTGAAAAACGAAGACAATTTGACAGTCGTCGTAGGAGAATCACTGCAGGACTGAGAGACAAATCTTCTGACACTGCCAGAGTTTCGTCGGAGGTAAAATTCGATCGCAATGGTCATTAATCTGTCATTAAAATCAATCAAAGCGTTTCAATCTTCTGTTTATTCAGCTACAGCGACAGTATGATGCCCATAGGGATTTCCTGGAATGATGTGTGTGTTCTACTTTTGCGGCGGGGAATAATTGGCGTGTGTGTGTGTGTGAGATGCCCTCTGATGTTCAGATGGATATGATGTGTGTGTGTGTGTGTGTGTGTGTGTGTGTGTGTGTGTGTGTGTGTGTGTGTGTGTGTGTGTGTGAGACACCCTCTGGCCTTCAGATGGAGCAGCATTTACTACTGATCACAGAGCCGTAAATCATCGCAGGCTTTGCCAAATCGCATGCGGTTTCATTTCGATTAATCGTGCAGCCCCATGTAAGATTTTGAAACAGTTTCAACTCAAATAAATATTTAATGTCCACAAAATTATTAATTTAGTGAAAAGCCGTGTAATAAGTGTCATGACTTTATATTATATCATAAATGGACGTCTTGTTTGAGCTTATTCATTTGTGTTGGTTCAAATCTGCTTGCTAGGAACATTTTTATTTTGCAGAAGCATTGAGTTTCTTGATAATATAATATTTAAAGTCAAATTAATACTTTGTATCCAAATATTTACTTATGTGGCACGTAGATGTATAATAAGCAGGATAATATATATTCAAATGGTTCTCCTCACAGAATAAACCTGACAGGGTGATCAGGACTGAAACAGAAGGGTCTTGTATCGCCCTGAATGCACAGCTAGCCACGGTTTATCCATTACATATAAGTATTAGTTATAAAAACTCTTACAACATTGGAAACAATCTAATGAAGATTAAACAACAAAATTATCTATCAGTCAATTTCTTTTCTTGTTTTTGTTTCCTTTGACCATTGACCAGAAAATGGAGGATGTTGACACATTTATACAATCTTACCACAGTTTCTCCAGTTTACAGTGAGGATCCTTCAGTCTATCAGAGAGCAGCTTCACTCCTGCGTCTCCTAGTTTATTCTCAGACAGATTCAGTTCTCTCAGGTGTGAGGGGTTTGATCTCAGAGCTGAAGCCAGAGCAACACAACCTTCATCTGTAACACCACACTCCATCAACCTGTAGAGATTAAAGATACATAGTGAACTGATACCAGCTGCAAACATAGAATAAAAAGTGTAAACTACAAATGTGATTTCTAGAGGCAGTAAAACATTCACATAAACATTGCTATACAATGTTAAATCAGATACAATACATGTGTACAATAACAATTTTCGGGAAAAATAACATTACGATGTCCAGAAATCAATTTCATTCTACAATGCGTAATTTTGGGTACATTTGTCATTTAATGAGATCTACTAACATATATGCTTAGTGCTGTGAATTTTCATGTGAATAAATGCAGATCCGCATCCTTTATTTGTGTGCTTTAAAGAGTCATGAAACCCCAAACCAAATTTTCTGAGATTTTAACAGAGGTATGTGTGTTGAACACTATTGAAGACAATGTTAGCATCTGTTAGATTTAATAGTAGGGTTAAAAGGGTTAAATTTTAGGGTTTTTTTCCGTCTTCCGGGTTTAAAATCTTCATCGTGTCGATGCACTGTGAGTGCATTGATGACTCATCGGTGTCTCATAATTATTAATGAGACTGTAGCAACAGGCACATGATCAGGTCTACCATTTGCCTAAATTGCTGGTTTTGCATTCTTTCAATTCAGAGACTGTGACAAAAAGCAGATGTCATGTGACTTTTAATTAAGTTACTGATTCACACACAAGCTTCTCTCTCTTCATGAACTGCACCCGAAGCAAAAGGTGCTTGGACTTAATTGAATTACCGATGCCAGATGTGCCCACGCGGCGTTTTTCTCTGATAAGTAATCACAGGACCCTCTGTGTTACCACATGTGACTCAACCGGGGGCGCCTCTCTGGCCGGAGATCCCGTGGTGTCCCCTCTGCACGACACCGCACAAACACAGACAACCTTGTGTATTTAGACCATTGGCCATTGTAATCCAGACTTAAACTCATCAATTCAAAGAACGCACACACATACACGGAACTGAAGATGATCACAAGTTCACCCCGCCGCCACCGTTCAATGAACTCTGAATACACATACACACACACACAAAGAGACAATCATTCGTGACCACGTGTGGTTAAAAATCACCTTTTTAAATGTATAAAAATGTTTTTTTGTTGTGTTTCACGATTAACTCAAAATGTAATATGATGCATGCTTTTATTAATACCAGTTTAGAAGGGTTTTTGAACAAGTTTTATCTCCCCTGCGCATTACCCAGAGGGCGTGTATTTCCGCAAACACAGAAGTTTGCCGCCACGCCTCCTTCCAAACTATTGGACCAAGCGTGTGAGGAAGGTGTGTCTCCGCTCCGTTTAAAACATGGACCGCCACATTCTCCCTTTGCAGTTCTACGCCAGAGAGAGGTCCATTCTTTAATAAGAACTCCAACCGGAGTTCTTCGTTTATTTTCTTCGTTTTTATCTAAGTTTTCCTTTCTATTGCTCTATCTCCGTTGAGAGTTTGACTTCGTTCAGTGTATTCACGAACGAAACGAATTTAAGAATAAATCATATTCCGCGATCGCAACATCTACCTCCGCCCAGAAGAAACCTCGGACATCAAGCTCACGCTTCTTTTCAAACCAGCCGCACAAAAAAGAGCCATCATCTCAAAGCAAGTAAACGTTACAATCTAAATAATTGCTGTTTAAGGTTGTCTAGTACAAACCAGGAGTCTCTTTGTATGAAATGACTGTTTGAACTGTTCTGTCCTGAGAAGATCTCACTCTCTCTCTGATGAATTTTGCCAAACTGTGATCCTTACGGATCTCCTCTCTCTCTCTCTCTCTCTCTCTCTCTCTCTCTCTCTCTCTCTCTCTCTCTCTCTCTCTCTCTCTCTCTCTCTCTCTCTCTCTCTCTCTCTCGAGTGCATGCTGGGAGTGAGTGGGCGGAGCGTGGTGAGTGTGAATGTGAGTGGTAGCCGACTGTGGCTGGTAAGAGTGCTTTTTTCGAACTTTTTCTTTTTTCTTGTAAGTGTTTTTTGTTTGTGTTTTTTTTTTGTTTTTGAGGTATTTTGTTTTGTTTTGTTTTTGTGAGGATAGTCTGCTTCCAGCATTTGCTGGGAAGCATGGCGACTCCAAACACAATGGCTTTTGAAAATTTAACTCGGCGTCATGGAGTGAAGATTGATTCAAGCGCTAACATGGAAGATGTTTGTTTGGCTGTAGGAGATGTTGTGGGTCATGAAAACATTGTGTCCGCTTCGCGAATGAATAATGCGTTTGTGCTTTTTTTAGCACTACTGAGAAGGCGAACGAAATAGTGCAAAAAGGTGTCGTAATCAAAGGTTCACTCACGCCTGTGTTTCCTCTGAGTACTCCCGCCAAGAAAATAATGATTTCAAACGTCCCTCCTTTTGTGAAAGATGAGATAATTGTGCAGGAATTGTCCCGTTATGGAAAGATAGATTCCCCCATCAAAAAAATTCCGCTCGGATGTAAATCGCCTTTAGTAAAACATCTCGTGTCTTTTAGGAGACAGGTGTTTATGATTCTGAAGAATGGCGAAGATGAACTTGACCTGGTTTTTAAATTTAAAATAGAAGGCTTTGATTATGCTGTCTTCGCAACATCTGATACGACGATCAAATGTTTTGGTTGTTCGAAAATCGGGCATCTCAGTCGTAATTGCCCAGATAAAGTGAACAAAAACACAGAGCTGATTGATGCAGTTAAAGCAGGGAGCGCTGTCGATGAAAGTAGCGCGTCTGAGACAAGTGCAGCGGCGACTCCCGCGATTACACTGATCGAGCCGCTCGAGGGAGCGAACAGCGCGGAGGCGCGGGCGTCCTGTTCTCCTGCTGATGATGGAGGTGTTGTGGCGGAGTCTCTGGTGGCCGAGAACGCGGTGGGGTTGAGTACATTATCTTCGGCGTTTGTAGAACAAAACAGAGAAATTGTACAGGAAAATCTGAGATTGAATGACTGTGAATTGGATGTGGAAGTTGAATCTACTTTCAAAACTCCAATTAAAAGAAGAATGAGTCGCAACGATAAAATCAGTAAACAAGTAAAAAAAAGTGACGCAGCTGAAGATGAAATCATAGCTTCGGATGATGATGATTCTGATTCTAGCGTTTCTGTGTGTTCAGAGATTTCTGTTTGTTCCCAAAATGAAGCGGTAAATGTTTTGCGGTAAAGCGGTAAAAGCGGTAAAAGCTGAAGACATTAGTGTTTTTCTTCAGGAAACGAAAGGGCTAAAAGGCGTGCAGATTGAGGATTATTTTCCTAATCGTGGACAATTTGTGAAAGACACCAGATATTTGATAAAGAACGAGGCTTTCTCAGATCTCGAAGTGTACCGTTTACGGAAGTTTGTAAACAAGTTAAAAAAACAAATTCCTAGTAGAGATGAGAAGAATGCCATGGTTTAAATCCCTAAGCTTGTTTTTTTTTACCGTATGCACACTCTCTGTTTTTTTCTCATCTTAGTTTCTTGTTGAACCTAAATAAAACTATGAGTCAGCTAAAAATTGGAACTCTCAATTTAAATGGAGCTAGAGAAGTTCGTAAGAGGATGATGTTGTATGAATTTATAAATCAGAAGTCTGTTGATGTCATGTTTGTACAAGAAACGCACAGTGATCAAAGAAATGAGGTGGATTGGAAAAGAGAGTGGGGAGGACAACTTTTCCTTAGTCATAAATCCTCTGTTAGTGGAGGTGTTGCAATTTTATTTAGTAAAAATATGACTCCAGTATCTTATGAATTTGTTGAAATTGAAAAAGGTCGTTTTTTAAAAGTTATCGTTAAATTTGAAAAAAATTATTTTTTTTATTTTTTATATTTATGCTCCTAATAGTGGAGTGGAAAGAGTTTTGTTTTTAAATTTAGTCAACACTACTCTGAAAGGCCTAAATACAGATGATGTTTTAGTTTTAGGTGGAGATTTTAATTGTACCGAGAGTGATAAAATAGATCGAAATCATTTAGAACCACGTTGCATCTCAAAGAGTTATCAAGCAACTCATTCAAACTTTTGATCTTTGTGATATTTGGAGATGTATGCATAACAAATTAAGACAATACACATGGGTTCATTGTAAAGATAATTCATTGTCTTTGGCACGTCTTGATCGGTTTTATAGCTTTAAGCACCAGTTCAATATTTTTAAATCTTGTCAAATTAATCCTGTAGGTTTTTCGGACCACAGTGCGGTTCTTTGTTCTGTTCTAGTTAGCCATGTGAAGTCAAGCAGTGCCTATTGGCATTTTAATGCATCTTTGCTTGATGACCAACATTTTAAAGATTCTTTTATTTTTTTCTGGGATGTTTTTAAACAACAAAAGCACTTATATAGCTCTTTACAGCAATGGTGGGATTGCGGTAAAATACAAATTAAAAACTTTTGCCAGCAATACACTCTTAATGTAACAAGAGAAATAACTAGATCATTGAATATTTTAGAGACTGAGATAGTTGATTTGTACAATTTGTCTGAATCTACAGGCAAAAAAGAACACATTGAAGCTCTGAAATCAAAGAAAACTTTATTTGCAAACCTGTTGGACATTAAGGCACATTAAGGCTGGTTCACTCACGTTTCCAGAAAGTCACACAAATGGATGCACCTTCCAAATTTTTCTTCAGTATGGAGAAAAAAAAACAGTCAAAGCAGAATAAATCATTCCTTGGTCTCTGATACACGACAGGAATTAACTAAAACTTCTGAGATAAGAGAAGTTGCTGTACAGTTTTATAAAAAATTATATACAGCTGATTTGATAAATGAAAAGATGACACTTAGTAGTTTTTTTGAAGGTCTGCCAAAACTTGATGAAGAGAGCAATGAAAGTTTGCAACAACCTTTGACAGAGCAAGAGCTGTACACAGCAATGATGAGTATGGAGAATGGGAAATCCCCCGGGATCGATGGGTTACCCATTGAATTCTATAAAACTTTCTGGCCCATTTTAAGAGAAGATCTCTTATTAGTGTTTGATGAAAGCCTTATTAATGGGTTTCTTCCGCTCAGTTGCAGAAGGGCAGTTATCACTCTATTGCCCAAAAAAGGTGACCTT